GTGGAATCATGTGCTGCCTCCACGCTGAGCAAAGAGGTGATCCCTTAGTCCGCTGTGCTGCCAAGATTTTGCAATAAATTATAAGATGAATAATCTGTTTTTAAACAACAAAAAAAAATCCATCAGAGCAAGCACTGAATTATTTCATTTCTTAGTCAAATATTTGTCACCTTTTGTCTTCAAACAGCATCGTTTGGTTGATGATTGAATTAGTCCAGGTAAAGGTAGGCAAGAAAAAAAACAGTAAATGTGAACCAGGGAGGGAATTCAACTCCTGCTTTACGTGTTCTAACTATTGCTTGACAGCAGGGTCTGCATTAGAGGAAGCCTGAGGTGGCTGCACATGCTTCTGGGTACACCAGGCTCTTGATGGTGAATGTGAAATAAGATGCGGTGGGGTTTGCTAGGTTATTGCATTTCAAGTGACTAGAGACAGAGTTGTACTATAAAATTATGGCCAGTAAAGAGCCCCATGTTGCTTAAGGAACAGAAAAAAGGAGTCTGGCTTCTTAGGGGTGTGCTGGCTGTATGGGGCTACCTCGGAGAGCTGATGCAAATCTGGTCTATTTGTAGCTTTCCTGTCTGCTGATCGTTTGCGGTGTGCCTTTGTCTGTGCTCTGACTTCTCTGTCTGGTTTAATGTTTCTCAGCCTAAGCAGCTACAAAGTGTGGAAAGAAGCAGCAGACTCGCTGAAATCATGTTGGCAGTCCTCTGCGCGCTCCTATAAAACTGTAAAAATCCTGACAGATTGCTTTAACCGTGTGACGGAGGGGAAGGGAGTGTTCAAACAGAACTTCTGGTGAGCTTGCCGGGTTCATTGTCAGGTCTTTGCAGTGAAAATAAAATGCTGCCTTCTGTTCTCAGTATTCATCAGCCCCGCTTGCTGAATTCTTCAGTAGTGATCAGCCCCACTTGCTCTGTTTAAAGGGTGATGCAGGTAGATTCCTTCAAAGACCTGTTGCCAGGTTCTGCTTGGTCAATGACGCCTATCCTGAGCAGAGCCTTTGTGATCTGGGTGAAAAGCCAGAGAAAACAAGTGAGGGCTTGTTCTCTGCCCATCCCCTTGCGACACACCTTCCTTTTTTCCTTCCCTGTACTGTTAACATTATCTGAGAACTCAATCATAACATCAAATTCTGGATGATGGAGATGGTTCCTTTTTGCAGTTTTCTGTGCTTCAGTGTCACTGGCTATCTGTGATGCTCTTGGCCTGAAAATCATTGAGAACCGCGCAGAGAGGAACTGCTGCATCTGTTATGAAGAGGTGCTGGTACATTAATTGCAGAAGGCAAGTGAGAGCAAAAAAAAAAAAGAAAAAATATGGCAAAGGGCAGATGATGTTTCAAGGATTTAAAGATAAGTTTCCGATATTTTTGCCTAGGCGAGAGCCTAGGTTTTCTTTTCCCTTCCTTGCTTCATAGGTTGTTAAAGCAGTCACGTAAAGATAAGTTTCCGATATTTTTGCCTAGGCAAGAGCCTAGGTTTTCTTTTCCCTTCTTTGCTTCATAGGTTGTTAAAGCAATCACACAGTGAGAAGAGTCATTCTGAGACATTTCTGAAAAGGATTCGAGGCAGGATGGAGTTTTGTCATGCATGTTCCATTTTTTCACAAGCACTTACTCATAAGGGGCAAGTGTTTGTAAAGATGAATGCTTTTTTAGTGTTCAGTGTAACCAGAGCCTGTTTAGCTGACTGGAGCTGCCTAAATACACACTGGAAGTCGGTACCTGAAATTTTCTTTTTAGGGCAATTAGGTTGTCACACTGGTTCCAGCCCGACAAACAGGTTTGTTCCTTATTGATTCATGTGGTAATGCAGCCACTTACTCTGCTGCTAGACCAGGGAACTACAGGCTCTGTTTTGTTTTTAAACTTGTTGAGCTTGGATGAGCTTTGAAAACAAGCTTACAGTTAGCTTTGAAAATATTTACGTAATTGCAAGGTGTAAGTTCTGGCATCCAGAGCGTAAATTTCTAGGCTAGCTCACTTGTTCTGGATTTCTAAATGTCAAATACTGTTTAGTTGGGTAATGGCATCTTTGCTGTGAGAGCACTTGATCCAAACTCAGGGTGACCAGTGGACCAGAAGCCACCTTGGGATTGTTTCTTGCTTTGCTTTTGATAGCAATTGCTGTCAACCTCTGAGGTATCTGCCTTTGTATCAGGCAGATATATGCCTACTTTTTAATTTTTACATATATGTATATATACAGATAAATCATATGTGTGTTCTTATATAATTCTCTATGTGCACTTCTATATACGTTTATAACCATGCATATATGTGTAGGAGGAGTCTCTGTTTGGTGCCAGGGAGCTGGTACTTTGCTGCAAACTGTTTAATGGTTGCGGGGAGCAGGGGGAAAGCAAAAATTAGGTGGGAGCAGATATGCTCTGGAGTTCTGCTTAAAATGTATGCTCAGAGCTCTTTCCTGAAATCGGCTGGTACATGCAGAAGACTGATTTTTCTCTCTTTACAGAGTAAAAAGCTCCTGTC